AAGAGGGAGGTGCTAGAGAGGCGGGCCCAGCCAATGTCCGAATACGAGATCGCAAACGTGTGTGGGTTTCCTGTGGAGTACGTGAACTGTCTGCTACATGTGAAAGCACGAGCACGGTACAAAGTCAAACTGTTCGGAAAGCAGGCACGGGTTTTTGGCCAACGAATACAAGCCAGTTCAGGCGAGAGTTTTGGCTAGCAAATACAAGTCAGCGCCAAAGGAGGCAGTGCATTCGGCCAAATATGGAAAAACCGTGGAACCAAAATCACTGACATTGGCTGAGAGCCAGTCGCATAGCTAGGCTTCCTAAAAATAGTACGTTTCGTTACCTAATAAATACGAGCGGTCTGTCGTGTAGAATATACCCCCTGTTATCGAGTCTTGGCCCTTTTTTCTGTATCCCGTTGGTTGGCTGGTGCGGGACTGAACAGTCAGACGGTAGTAGCCTAGCAGGTTCCGTGTTAAGGAAACAGTACTACAACAGTTCTAATCCCAAGCTACTTTACAGGTGTGTCAATAAACTCCGCACGGTTTAAATAAGCATCCTTGCTATAAGTATAGCATATGGACTAGCGCGAACTTCAAAGGAGTCAGCTAACGTTCTAAGATTGCAGTTCGGCTGTATTTTACAGAACGCATCGTCATCGCATTCCATTCTGACCAGGATTACGTTGCCACCACGTCTTGGCCACGTTCCTTCTACTACTACGGATGTATAGAACTGACGGTTGTTATTGCACCAGCACAGTTCTTCTAGTGCAGACAAATTGCGCTTATAGTCAATGAAGTTAACTGCCAAAATCTTGACTGAACGATTGTCTGGGTTTTCAAGTGCTGCCTTGAGAATCCACCTGACCCTGCTATGTGGCAGTGTGAAATAATCTTCCCAATTTACAGCTGAAAAATTGCTTTGAACTTGTAAACGACTTCTCAGAAACTCATGGAATCGATCATTGCAGAACCAGTCAAAGGGGATTTGGAAAGATGCGGTATCATCATGCAGGAGCAGCAGGGCTTTCGCTGAAACCACGGATATACCATAAAGAATCTGTTAGCTTGTGCCAGCCGGATAGAATCCGTTGATGCTGGAGAAGGAGTTGGTACGCTGTACAAAGATTTCTTGTAGGCTTTTGATTAGCTAGAACACTACAACCCTCTCCATAGGCTTCAGAGTTACGGAGTCTGTGACCTTATCCTGAGCTGCTACGTGCGTTTCTACTTCAATGCCATTTCCAGGTGGGGGTTCGTGGTGCTTTAGCTGACCCCGAATGTGGTGCATTATGGTTGTCTGCTGGGCTCTGCATTAGAAAAACGGTTATTCCAATAGTTCATAAACTAACTGGGGGAGAGATCACTCCAAACTTTCTACTGTTTGCTGATGATCGCAATGTTTGACGGGTCTTCTGGACGGTAGCTGATTACCTAACACTGCAAGGCAAACACAGCAGGGCTTAGTAGTGGTCAGCTCACAACATGATCAATTGTAATACTATACACGCCACGGGAGAACTTATGAATATCGGTCAGAAGAGCAGGTGTCGCACCGCGTTCCTCCTAAAAGTGGTCTTGGGGTGCTCTTTCAAGGCAAACTCGGTTCCTAAATACAGGCCGGAAAAGCAACAATAGAGGGTAGTCATGTGTAGGTCGTAACGGCACTTCGTTGCCGTGCGACCACCACCAGTCGCACGCCCACCCCTACACAGATTCGAACCCGCGCTGCAAGCTTACGAGATAAGCTCGTTACCTCTGGGCCACGGGACGACAAAGGGTAGTCCATAGTTGGCCCTCTTGCGGAGGGTATTTATCCGGTTTGATCCTAACTTTTTTCCCAAAAGCGCAACGCTTACGTTAGGCCAAATCTGGTAAACGTCTTCCAGGTGTGGCACCTTTGGCCAAAGCAGGGCCTTATTGCTTTTGGGAATCAACAACGGAGGGTGACTAGAAATGTTAGTGTCTTGCTCTATCTTCCTTATCAACTAAAACCGATGGTCCTAAGAGTTTTCAGTGGATAATGTCTTCGTCCGAGAGGTGATCTCATATTGCTATATCCTCAGAGATCTAAACGACGTACGCTGATACCTATTGGAACTAAGCGATGACAATTCACTGAGAGTCCGGTTAACTTGCAGTCGGAACTCCAGCATTCCAGTGTCCCAGTCGTAAAGCGCCCTTCTGATTTCTGTCATCTCCACTCCCAATGTAGCCGAATTCAAAACTCATCCTGATGGCACATCCCACCGTCTACATCACATGATTTAGCCCAAATTATTGCCTTCAAGCATAAGTATTCACAATATGTGCGTTGTGAGATGCGCTGAGCCCACTGATGCACGTTACTTTTACTTGATTTCTTTGTTGTTTTTTTTGGTCTCGCTCTTTACCTAAAGAAAGTGTTAGACATTTATTATTTTACCCATGTTCGATTCACTGTTCCATCAAATGATCGCGAGAGACAGCCTTTACTGATATCCACATCTTAAAGGTGATGTCCATGTATGGTGCATAAGTTACTGTTGAAGATTGCTGCAGGATAAAGTGTACTGCAAAATGTGTCAGGGGAAGTTGAGCTCTGATTGATCCACTGATGCTACATTGTTATAAACAGGTGAGGATATTTCATTCAGTAGAATGCTGTTTATAATATGTATGTTGCGACAGCATTGAACAATCGTCTACTTTCGCTAGACCCTGGTATATAACTCTGCTCTACTGCCAGTCAATGTCCGGCAGTATAAAATGCCGGTGTATTGCTGTTCACCATGAACGTAATTAGGATGTTTCTGATCTGCGGCTTGGCCACTCACGCCATGATGTATCGGAATGAAAAGGCTAGGCACCAGCACTTTAGTACGTTCGATCTACTGGTACATCAATGACAACAGAGGAATGAAAGCATTTTCTGTTTTTCTGGGAAGCTGATGGTCATCTTTTCGACATAACCGCATGTGTTATGAAACCTTAATTAGACAACTGAATGTTGAATTGGTGTGTGGCCAAAGGCCTAAATGTTGAAATTATTCAACGGTTTTCGGGCACGCGGTGCAATCATTAGAGGAGTTATATAGGTAACGATGGAAATCTATAACCCTTAATTTACATATCAAGTAGCCAAGGTCTTGTTGATGTAATGGAAAAAGGCGCTGGTACTCTGGTAGAATTCGTTCCTATCAAGTAAGGTGGCCATTCGAAGCTATGGGTAACTCAGATGCACAATGCGCATAAGGACAAAAGTCACTCCAGTCACAGTGAAGCCGACGCGGAACATCGATGGATGTGGACGAGCGCCAAAAGACTTCACAAAACGGTATGATTCGGAGGCAGTTTTCAAGGTTTCCAGGTGATGACGGACACAGCGATTCGCGCATGTTTCGCCACCGCCGCGTTCACGTCACTCTGATGCGGCTCAATCTGTTGTGCAGCGCGAGATGGGAGAGCGAAAAGGGCAATTAGATGTATTAGTGATTAGAAGGTGGACAGAAAAATGAGGTCATAATATAAATAGGCCTTTATTGGGCAGACCTAATAAAATGGATACACAATAACATCCCGTCGTGACCCGTCAGTTGTAAATGCATCACTAAGTGCAGTACATGAGCGATAATGTTAACTTAGACATTGTGCATTAATAAGGGGTGAAAGAGAACCCCCTGTAAATCGTAATGCCGCAAGCAAACACACATGTTCCAGACGCCAAGCACACGGTCGCACAACACTGGCTATCTCGCGAAGCTAAGGTGGTATCGCGGCTTTCACTACTCCAGGTCATAATCGACTTTATCCCGCAGACAACTGACTATCAGACCTACTTTAGAAAGGTAAACCAAATAGGGTGCGACAATAAACGCGTCACCAGCGTCAGCTGTGAGCTATGTCCTACGAGGTCTCTAGACAAGCACAGGATGGGTAGCTGGCACTCCAGGCTGGAAGAGGAGACGTAGCATAACATCCGCTTCAACAATCAGTGACCTCGTTTCCCGTTGATAAGTCTAATTCACCTGCCTCAAGCCTCACCTCATCCTATGTTCTTCAACGAAAATAAGACCCTTCTCAGTCAGTGGTGAGCCAGCATGTGTTACTTGTTGCCTCAACAAACTAACTGTAACATCCCCGACTGTTACTCGTTTGTTAAGAGCAACGTTTCGAAACGCTGGTAACATATGAACTTATCAACACATCGAGTGCGACAAGGGCCAAAACTTGGAAGAACCGCGGGTTAAAATACGGCGGAAGCCAGGTCTCACTCTCATACAACAACCTACTTTTTACGGTGGCACTGTGTACGTAGCATTCCAGACTGAAGGATATCCGCTTCTGATGTCACAGTGTCACAGAATAAAGACAGCCATTTTAGTATTTGCAGACAACGAATATGTTCACAAGCAGCTTATCCGCTTTACTAGAAAAAGCAGTTGCAGCTTTGCTAGCGGCAGACGAAGGACCGTATTCTTCGCTGGAGCGATACATACCAATTTTTAACGTAATGCCCAGAGGATCTGCCTACTGGAAAAACGGATGTCAACGGCGTCGGGAAATAAAATAGAGGCATCGGCTGTACACCGGTACGCAGTGTCCCCGCTTCGCTGCAGCGCAACCACCACCAGTGGCACGTGAGCTAAGGGTACACCGAGGGTACCCTGGTCCCTAGCCAGGTTTGTGACCCTTAAACCTACGGGCTGGCGTCGAGGGGTTGTTGGTCTCCGCTACGATGATCACAACTGATCAATAGGGTTTTGCATAACAACGGTGATACCACCAATGTAGCTCAGCGTCATTCGTTCCTTAAAGCCCGGACACGATAAACTAAATCTCTGGCAACGAAAGTAGGCTGCTAAATAACAGAGCTGGGTCACATAGTACAGGGGAGTACTTCTCTATATCAAAGCCTGTTGACCAATGTACTCTATGCATCAAGGTTATGGAGGTAGCATAGCATGATCCTACAGTTAGCAACGAAACAGTCATTTTTTGACATCCAGGTTGCGTTGCGGCAGTTTATCTGGGATGAAACGCCGTTTGGTCTCAGTCCTTCGGAATGCCAGTAACCGATGTATTCCTTCCTCTGCAATAAACCCTGCTATTGAAGTAAAACTGCGTGTGATACAGGAAAAGTTGAGGACTACAATCAACTCGTCGTTGTCACAAGGGAAAAAAATTCGTTAGGTCACGCTGTCTCTGTATTTTAGAAGTTACCACACGATACACTATTACAGTGGACTCTTAGATTGCACTATAGCCCGTGTTTGATTGTACAGTATAACGCTCATTCATATGGAGTAATAAGTTCCTATACCACTAATATTCCTGGAGTATTTATGGAAAAAGTGATAACATGGGAATCGTTTATTCGCAATCAAAGGGCAGATTAGGAAGTGTTAATGAGAGCTAAAATACTAGAAAGTAAAAGGCTAGAAAGGACTTACTATGTCCAAATGATCCAGAAGAATACGTCGTCCTTCGGGGGTCTCCGCTAAGCAAGTAAGCACCTGAAAATCAGTGAAGCGACATAACAAACATGAGTGCAGTAGATTAACTGGTACCCTTAGTGCTGAAGAAAGATAATTTGAACCAAATTCCCATTTCTTTCTAGCACATTATGTAGAGAATGCTCTAACATCTAGAAATTTATGTCGAGCCTCGGATATGCGCAGTCTCAGTGATTCCGTTGCAGTACCATAGACTAAGGCCCAAATGGTCAATTTCTCATGATATCACCAAGCTTACTCTTCTGAACACAGTACCTGGGACGACCTGTCAGTTATACAATGGATACCTCGTCCGCACCATAAGCCGATCGGGCAAAGCGGTGAAAGGCAATGATGTATTTCCATATACCATAACATGGAAATGCGACTTTCTTTGGTTTTATAATTCAAAGGAAAGTCACGTAGAATCATACACACAAATGTTCAGTGAGCAGGGATACAAATGCCATGAGGAGAGGACCTATCGTTCAGTTTATCGCAATACCAGCTGACTTGCGTCCAGTTCCTAGACTGGTTAGAAGTGTCTACCATACAGCCGTTATACCCAGATGCCCGTGGTCGATTAAGTTGCACACTGAATTCTACAAGTCGATAAGCTTGTGCAAACTGATGGCTAGTCTCTTACATTTTCATCTATATTTCCTCTGACATGACAAAACTGTTCAGCATCTGGAACGCCAATACTCTTCACTCACATAGATCGTTTGAAGCAGTTGCTTAGTTGCACGATAAGTTATACACCAAATACATCTATAGCACATTAAATCGGCCCAGTGATATGAACATGAACTACTAATTTGGTTTAAACGTTCGTGCATCTACGAAGCCAGGGTTACACACATTAAAAGACATCAACAGGATGATAGGAAGCGGCGAACTCCACCATAGTCTATGCTGTCATTTCGCAAACTTGGCCGTTCACTGTCTCAAATGCTGTTGGTCAGGTATGTTTTGGGACATTTGATGTTCGAACGACGGCGTGCTTTAACGCGCAAGTAGAGTGTATATACAGCTAGTCTGGCAGAAGAAGCTCGAGGACCGCCTTCCAGAATGAGAAGCGTGGTGCATGGACATACCGTGGCTCGCTTATGGCGAATGCCGGTCAGTTACGTTTGTTGGCCCCACCATGCAATAGCCATCCAAGCTTTAGCGAATTTTGCAAAATGCGTACTGCCTGTGGTGCGTACGTACAGAAACATGAATTTCTCTCTCACATTAGTAGCAAAGACATATAGCATTCTCGGCAGACGAGTGGTTTAGTGCAGGGATCAGTTGGGTGCAAGCGTAAGCTGGTGAAGGACAGACCGACAGGTCACATCAGCCTGTTTTGGTCAGCGAGCGAAATGAGTATAGACAGCCACATCGCCTTTCCGGCGGTCGTTAGCTGTCAGCCAACTTCACTGTGAATGCTGAAGGTCACGGCTACCCGCAGGCATTGCAGCGATCATGGTTATTCGTATGTCTTGCTGGTTAAAGCGAAACTGCCAGCTACTAAGCCAAGTCGGCGTAGGCAAGCTGAAACGAGCAACCATAACGGCGGAGTGAATGTGCGCACGTGGTGGTATCACGACGAACCGGGTGTTTTGGATTTGGTAAGGGCTTTGTTAGGCAGTGCAAGTCATGTCAATACCAATGGATCACTGTCTCAGGTAATGGAGCACCAACAGACACTGCAGTCGGGATCACGTAACGTGCCTGTTACGCTGCGCGCGCTGATTATTCGGCTGTATTGTGAAGGCGGTTTAAACGCCGCCTCAAACACAAAAATACAATGCAATGAACGCAGGAATGCGTCCCTTCACCGCCTGGTACGTGTTTAAATTAGTAAAGAAGTTCGAGCAAACCGGGAGTGTGTGTGACTTGAAGAGAACCGGACCACCACGCATCATCACGGACGACCATTCAACCAGCGCTGTAGTCAGTGAAGCATCAAAAAGTCCCGATCCCAGCATTCGTCAGATCGCACAGCACGGTGACACTACCCGATACGTGCTACTCTGGATATTACAGGAACGAAAATATCGAAGATTCCGTGCACTTCAGGTGCACGTTCAGAACCCCTGCGATCCGGAGAAGCGGCATGAATTGGGCCGCGAGTTACTGGATCACGGGAATTTTCATTCTGCCATCTTTACAGATAAGGCACTGTTTCATCTGCATGAAACAATGAAACAGTATACTTAAGCTACCAGGAATCCACGAAAATATATCGCATCATGCATGCACCACGGTGTGAAACTGATAGTTTGGGCTGGATTAACAAGCCAGAAAATCTTGGACCTATATTTCTTTTCCGGGAATGTGACCGGTAGGTTGTTGTTTTGAAGTACTAAAGCCTTATCTTTTCCTAGCATCGTCGTACTTGGAAATGCTGCAGGCATTTGTGCTCCCACAGATGGAGGCCGAAGGGGCATGCAGTACCATTTGGTGGCAGCAGGATGGTCCACCTGCACATTTTGCTAAAACTGTGCATGCTTATCTCACCGACAGATTTGGCCACCATTAGATCGGACGCGGTGGACCAATGGAGTGGCCTGCTCGCCCATCAGATTTGAACCCCATGGACTTTTTTCTATGGGGCTATCTGAAGCGGCGAGTGTACAAAACAAGGGCGTGTACATTGGACCACTTGAAAGAAAATATCATGAACGAATATCGCACGACCACGAGGGCTACATTGGAGAAAGTGCGCGCCAACTGCATAAAGTGCTTTCAGCACTGTAATCAGAACGCCGACGGACATTTCGAACATATCCTACATTAGCGCAAATGATCGTTCCAACACATTTGTGTTAATATACTTATCCACTTTGACATATGTATTAGCGACTAAATTGGCCCACTGGCAAATGGTACTAATAATGCGTCCGGTCGGATAGAATTCTTAACCTACAGGCTGTCAATAAACACTTAAAAAGTGTAGGCACTGAAACGTTCGATGGCTACTTATTGCGGAATCGCTGGGTCGCTATGATCTGTGGTTCGTCCAGCCTTAATGTAAAGCCGACTGTGTTGTTGACTCAGTTTCAGGCTATCGCCTGAATCCTGTCAGTCGGTAAAGTTAAGCTGGAGCCTTTTGTCCCCCAGACTTGGGTCTAGTCAGAAGGTAGAAATAATGTGTGCGGAAGGTACTAGTAACTGTGATCTGTCACAGTTGATCAGTTCACCTACGTTGGGTGCATAAGCACTGAAGACAGTTCACGTATTGCAGAAAGCAGAAATGCTTTCTTTACTCTACAACATCACTGGCAACAGAAGGTGTTCTCCTCGGTCCAAAAGGCTGTGTTTACAAGGGCACAGTAAGACCCGTCATTCTCTATGGTAGAGAGACTACCCACTTTCGGCCTGAAACGCATTCAAATCGGTGCTCATCATCATCATCCTCAACCTCAGCCACTTGAGCTGATGATTCGCTGCCACTAAACCCCGGTTAATTACGGAACGAAGAAAAATAAGAGGGAGAAAAGAGGGACCCAGCGAAAAAACTTAAGGCACTAAATCAGGAGTCAACAACGTTTTTTCAAGAACGGCGGAATCACAAGAAAAATTCACTGTGTAATATTCGACTGCTTAAGTAATAAGGTACCTTTTTTCATGGTACCGAGAAACCGAGCCCACAAAGGGACGGATCATATTTACACTACAACATGCTCAGACATATGATACTGTCTATTGTTTGGGTTTTTACAGGGTTACATTAGCGATGTTTTTGCGATTATTTTCATTTGGGACTTTTGTCGCTGTATGCTACCAGTTCGCGGGCATTCTCATTTGGTTGTCCTCGGTGCAGCTTAGTGGTGCCTTGATGGCGGCGGTTTGATACGGGGGGGGGGGAGGATCAAAAGGAGGAGAGTTAGGTTCACCAATCAAAGTCAGATGAGTAATACATTATGGTACTTAATAGACTGGAGCAATACAGTTGGAGCTATTTGTGAGTAGCAAGTTAGAGAGTTGCGAAAATAAGGAAAATACTACCTTAAGGTCACTCCAGTGGATCATCAAACTCAAGTTGATTTATCAGAATACTATGGGCAGTATTCACATCGTAGGTATTTAAGGCAGAGCGTAGTGTCTAGACATTCATTGGTCTAATTATGGAGTTGAACTAAGCAACTTTGTTTTGGGTTGCCAGATGGTTGAGATACTGGGTGAACTCAGTTGCATTCCTTTCAACCTTCACTTGTAGGTGGATAGTTATGGTGTACGTGACTATGCGTGATAAAGGTAATGTTTAAAAGGGAGAATTAAAAGGATAAGTAGACAAAGAAATAAGCGCCTTCTCACTACAGTCAGAACTTATTCAGTGGTTCGTTGTCTTATAGAAGATGCCAAAGAGAGGGCGATTAGGAAAGTGTGCAATAGTTCTCCGATTCTTGGTGTAGCGATATAGAGGGAATACACCACAACTGAGATCGAGACTATGGTCTAAGGAATAACTTAATGAGAAATATTGGTAGAAAAGTAGAACGGTAGAGGTGAAGTAACCAAGAACCAGGAGCACAACAGATTCAGTGAAGGATGAAGTAGCGTAGGAAAAAAACAAGTGAAGTAATATGGTCGTTCGTGGAACCGTTTCCCGGGGATCTGCTTCGATCCAGGGTAGTCCCTCAAGAGGTTTCACCCGCACCTCCATGCCCCATCTGGTCATGTATCGGTATGGTTTAAAATCATGCTGGCCACTACCGATTTTATTTCTCATTTGAGCAGTTGTATTTTGCTGGTGAGCTATCTATCGTCTGGCCTGGTCGTTTCCCGACAGGCGGAACTCTTGTGGCTATGTTTGACGGAAGGAACCGAATTGAGTGCATTTACGAGCTGTATGCCCAAAACGACTATGGTAACAACAAGTGCTTGAGGTACGTGATGAAAAAGTGGTTCTTGTTCTGGTAAATGAACGAGAACAAGAAGAACGGCGTCGTGTTGGTCGATTTAACCGAAGTTCAGCTATCTATTTAGTCAAATCGTCCTGACGGTCGTTAATCGAGTTTGATAGATCACGA